ATTAACTAAACTTATGCTTTTCATGTGTCTGTAAAGGCAATTAATTTAATTGTAAATTAATATATAGTTTCCATATATTATACATCGGCTCAAAACTGATCTCTTTCTTTAGTATATTATTAATTATATTAATTATTTAAATATATTTCCATTTTATTGTTTTTACATTAACACCAAATTTAATCTTAAAAATATACAAAAATACCATACATTTTAAGTTTCATTAAAATAACAATTATTTATCATATGATTAACAATAATGTGAGCCATAATTGAATTGAACTGAATTGAAGAATTAATAAAATTATATTAATTATTCACTCATTTGGCAAATATTATCGTCAACTCCACGAATATTATTATAGTTTTCCCAGAATTGACTCAATCTTTCGTCTTTATTGGTACAAAACGCCCGAAAGTCTTGCATTATTTTACGCATAGAGTTCTCATCGCCTGTCACTCCTGTCTTCCACCGCTTTGTTATCATGTAATTCCAACACCAGAGGAATCCGATCTACAATTCAAACAATTAATACCAATAATATTTCAATTCATGCATTGTATGCATGCCTTGGCGTCGATGTGAGCGGACTCTCCCGCTTGCTTTACACCACTGAAGTGACGGGTTATGTACTCTTCGTGAGGACTGCAGGCCGTATCGTTGTTGTCAACCTTTGCCAACCATTTAATTGCACACAAATTAGTGTCATTTTAGATTAACATACCATTCTTTATGATCCATACCTTCAAGAGTTTGCCTCGTTTTCGGACACTTTTATAGGGACTGGAGGCGGGGTTTTTGCTGGGAATCATAACGAATATACTGCCGCTCACGTGAACAAACTGTCGTTGATTATCAGTGGTCGGGTCGTGGAATGGGATGAAACCAAACTTTACTAAAATCCTCTCTTGAAAATTGAATAATCCTTCGCCTGAAATATTGCAAACATTACATCTAATGCCTAATTCATTCACTTTCATTGACATTACCTTCAAGTAGTTTTGTGGCCATTTTGGGCAAACTATCGATACTAAGCGTGATATAAATGGGACCTCGAAGTGGATCCGATTTACTCGAAAATGGCAGAGCAAATGGATCGGCGGGTATCGGAACTAAGTATATATATAGTTAGTAATCATTAAATGATTGACCATTTTTGGACTCGAATCTAACCCAAATGAAGGCCAGTAGAGGCGGCCTTTCGACTCCAACCCATTACTATCTCTGATATTGAGTTACCGGTGGAGACCATCCATTCGATAACCATTTCAAATGCCTGTTCGGGATCGTAGACACTGTGGTATTTGATGTTAACCCACTCTACTCTCCCATTCTTAGAGCCATCGTCTAAATCAAGGACTGTATTCTTAGACGTGAAATCTTAGGGACAAAATAATCATTATTTTGCAAACATTCGTGAATTATAGCGTCGCATACCCTGTACTTCAGGTGACAGACTATTTGAATAGAGTTCATTGCCAGTGCTGTACCAGTGCTCGTAATTCTTGGCTAAATTGCTTTGCGGCACAATTGCCACTTCCATCCACTCCTTCTCAAACATATGAATATCGCTCTCGTGTCCGAACAGATGATTCCTACTGTTTGTATCCACAATGCAATACAAATAGAAACCATGTTTAAAGGCTTGTGTCTTATCGCCGGATGCGTGACAAATGACACCCGACTCGACCATAGACTGGAATAGAGAAATAGCGATCCCTTCAGTCAATACATTTTCGATATTATTTTTGGCCCAAAACACGGCTTCGGCGCTAATGAACGTATCGGGTGTAAGGCCTCCACATTTGGTCACAAAGTTAAGCGCACTTAACACACAAAAACACAAACAATTATTTTCATATAACATTTAAACATAACAAATACTAAATACTTAGTCTTTTTCATGGTTTCAATTATATCGGAATGAGAGGAATGAATGGTTAATCTCTCATTGGTTTCGTCATCAGTTGGATTGGATTCGCTCTCAATTATGGGTGACTTACAGACAAGTGTCGACAAAATTGGTCCATCGATTTCGTCGCATCGCTCGTCAGTGCCTTTATTGATGACATTTATGTTCAATCGTTGAGCGGTCACTGGTTTTTGGGTTTGAGACGATTGGTTAAGAAGGATGTTGTCTCTAAAGAGCGCCCCTTCGCCCACATTTATATCCAAGGGTTGAGACATTCGGTTGGCATTGGTTTGAAGGTTCTGTAACTGAGCCGAACTCGAGCTGAATCGTCGATTAGAGCTGACATTCTTTCTGTGCTCCACTTTAAGAGCGGGTTTACGTGTATTCGGCGGACGTCTGATTCTGTTAATGATTTCCAAGAATTTGATGAATCCTTCCTGCAATTGAACTTTCTCTTCGGGAGTGAAGTCGTGGTAGAGATCGCACGGGTAGTCGTCTTCTCCAGAGAGGCACTTATCGATAATGGCTTTTGTAATCGATTGCATCGATGGCAACATTAAGAGCCGAAACCGCCAGTACTTTAAATTTTCCCGGAGTTCGTGTTCGTCAGCCTTAAGACATGTATAGTTATCCAAATCTTAAGCGCAAAACAAATGTATGCAATATTAGTGAATCAATAGGACATACAATATATTAAATATAATAACGTTTGCATACAATTCCACTTATAATTCTCGAGTTTCTCACTCGTGAAGTCAACCCAAGAGACACCATATGTCTCATTGTCTGGAGTTCTTATACGATAGCAGTAATGAATTTTGATGACAGGATAGGGATGTCTCGGGTGATAGTTCTTCACATAAATGGTCTTTTCGTCTAATTTCAATTCATGGA